TTTCATACATCGGAGAGATAAGCACACTGATGTTACACTGTATTATGATTGGACTCCAGTACAGTCGCGGACTCCAGTGGGAGGCTGTCATTGGACCCTAGTGGATTTCTGGATGGCTTCCTGTCCCTGGTCAGAGAAGTGGCAGTGTGCTTTCTGTCCCCAAATCAGGGACTGGAAAGCCTTAGGGTCCAGCTCAGTTCTCAGCTCAAAAGAAAACAAGCCAGGGGTTGTGGCCTCACAGATTCACCTTCTCTCCCTCTCCTATTGTGGGACCCAGACATGTAGCTTCAAATGCACAATTTGGAGTAATTTCCTTAGCTTCAGAATCCCAACTCGGTCTGTTCTCTCGATCAGAGTGCACACATGTGTGCACATACACACTCTCACACAGGCATGCTCACCAGCAAGTAGCCAGGGACACAATACTGCACGCTCAGTAGGCACACGGAGTCCAGGGCGGGCCAGGCAGTGGAGGTAGGGATGAATATTGCCCTGCTTTGAAACCGGTCTCTTACTCTAGGGAACAGGGAGAAGCAGCCCTAAGCAACAGGCCAAAAGGCCAGGACAAGGGCTGAGAACCCCAGGCCAGAGCTCAGTGCTTGGCCCTGGGATCAGCTCAGTGAACTCTTGTGTGGCCCTAGCAGGTTATAGGGAGAACACGCCTGTTAGAGAACTGTGACCCTTGGCTGCCAACAGGAACAGGTGCTGCAGCCCCTAGCTTGGTTGCCGCATCAGAAGTGGAGGTTGTGTGCACGTGTGCCCGTCTGTGTGTGCCGGGGTAGGCCCTGATGCTGTGCTCGGCCTCTAGACGGGGTAGGCCCTGATGCTGTGCTTGGCCTCAGAAGGAGCCCTCCAGCCTCGGGAAGTTTTAAACTGATTTTAGATAATTTGGTTCAGAAAAAATCTATGCACTTAATTTGTTCTGGTTTAAAAGTAGTACATGCTCATTGTAAAAAATAAATGTGGAAAACTGAAAAACCATGATGTAAAAAAGAAAATGGTAAAAACACCTGTGCTCCCATCCCTGGAGATAATTGCTATTGACATTTTGCTAGAATTGAGATTACATGCACACACCGTTTTCTTTCCTGCCTTCTCACTAAGTCTGCAGTGAGCACTTTCTCATGTCATTCCTCTTTGTAAACCTGTTTGAAGGCCTGTACCACCTTGCATTGTGGTACCATAATTTATTTAGCTTGTCGCTGATTATTGGACATTCAGATGGCTTTCAGTCTTTCCCTATTGTGGAAAACCCAGGATCATATATCTTTGTGCAATGCAGTGCTGAGAAGCCTTGCCTAATGGCACAGTCCAGGAAAGGCTGTGTGACTTGGGTGCCAGAAGCATAGCTGGGTGTGCTTTGACCCAAAGAGGGTGGCTGACAAAAGCAGGAGGGCGAGCTGGAACTCAGCTGCCCCCGCCTGCCCTGGAGCAGCGCCCTGCAGATGCCCTCGCAGCCTGCAGAGCTCCAGGACCCAATTCCTTGTTTTCCTTCTGGGGGATTGGACATGTGATTAGTGACCAGCCAAGACCCCTGGTGAAGCAGGGCAGCGGGCAGGGGAGTGAGCTGGATGCCTTCATCTGCTTTGAGGGCCCCTACTGCAGGCTGCTGAAAGGCCCTGCACACCTCTGCCCGCACGGTGGCAGCAAGGACGCTCAAGGCTGTAAGTAGACGGGGATAAATTAAGGCCAGCTGGCAGGGAGGCTGGGGGACCTTTGGGAACCAAGTCCTACAATCCCAGAGGGTGGGCAAAATGGGGGCAGGCAGGGCTGGGAGGAGGGCAGCCTAGGGGCAGTTGGGAAGCCAGGAGATGACACCATGGCTCCACTGTTCATCTGGCAAGTAGGTGTCTTGCCTTTCCTTTGCCTCCCTCAATCTGCTCCGCGGGGCCACAGTAGGGAGGAGACCACTCTGCGCTCATTCTTGCTCTGAACCTGCTCATCTCCCCCTGATTCTTGAAAGGTGACAAAGAGTGGGGGGATATCACTGCTGCGCGGCGCCTTAAGCCTCTGGGATCCTGGAATGTTAGTGCCGTTGTGGACATCAGTGACCATTTAATTCAGCCCCTATTATTACAGATGGGAGAACTGAGGAACCAGGTCAAAAAGCTAGTGGGGGCGGGTCAGGAAGGGAAGCCCTGTGTCCCCGACCACCAAACGCATGAGCCTTATGGTCACATGCCCGTCAACTCCACATCTGTGGGCCCCATCCGCTGGTGTAAGGGAGGCTGTGACAGGGGCTCAGGAGCTGCCTTTGTGGGTGAAAAGACACCAGGCCTGCTGGGAATCTGCCCAGAGGAGCCCAGACCTAAGCCTGGCCCTGCAAGACCTCTGTTGTGGGCACCCCCAGCTCCCCATCTGCAGGAAGGAGCCCCTCCACATCCCTGTAGTCTGAGGGGTCCCTGCAGTTTTGACCCCTGGAGAGAAAGAGAGAGAAGTAGTGAGGCCCCTGCATTTGTGAGCTGTGACTTAAGCTCCACCCCCTCCCAAGCCCGTGTGCCCTTCTCTGCATGGGGAGAAGCTCCTGACACAGTGGGTGACAGCCCAAACGGGACTTGCAACTGGTTAACGCACCAGCAAAGCCCCCAGGTGCATGGCAGCCCAACGCCTCCAGCACCATTTTTCCCCTCCTGGATGAAGAGTTGGACACACTTGGGCCACATGCTCTCTTTGCGCCCCTACTGGGTTCTCCGTTAGACATTGTTGAAGCCCCCGCTCCAGACGTTGCACCTCTCAGGGGCTCAGAGCCGTAGGCATGGGCAGCCTCCTCCTGCCCCTTCGCCTCCAGCAGGCAACAGCCCACCCTCTGCCCTCACAGCAGGGCAGCCAGAGAGCCCAGCCCCCTACGGACATACTCCCAATGCTTGGCACTTCCCTCCCTCCCCTCACTGTCCCTTTCCCTGGGTACCATTCTTGGGCCACGCTGTCTTCAGGTTTCCCAAGAACCAGCTTTCTAGCATCCTTTCGTTTCTCTTGCAGCAGAAGTAGAAGTAGCCCTTTGCCAGGCTTTGAATACTTGATGGGGAATAAGACTGGGGAGGGGCCCTAGATAAATCCAGCCCAGGGGACAAAAATCTCTCCCCCTTTTCCCTTTACCATTAAGCTGGAGACAGCCTGCACGGATGAAGACCGAAGCCTAGAGGCACGGGCAGAGGCCCATCCCATACCTAATCCACAATGCACTTGTGTCTTGCCATCTTTTTATTTTTTTAGAATATGTATTGATTTTATTGAGGTGACATTGGTTAATAAAATTATGTAGGTTTCAAGTGTACAGTTCTATAATACATCATCTGTATACGAGTGTATTGTATTGTGTGTTCGCCACCCAAAGTCAAGTTCTCCTTCCATCACCATTTATCTCCCCTTTACCCTTTTCTACCTCCCCCTCACCCCCTTTTCCCTCTGGTAACCACTATACTGTTGTCTATATCTATGAATTATGGGGTTTGGGGTTTGTTGTTGTTGTTGTTGTTGTTGTTTGCTTAATTCCTTCACCTCTTTCACCCAGCTCCTCCAACCCCCTCCCCGCTGACAGCTGTCAGTCTGTTCTCTGTATCTATGAATCTGCTTCTATTTTGTTTGTTAGTTTATTTGTTCATTAGATTCCACATATGAGTGAAATCGTGTGGTATCTGTCTTTTTCTGACTGGCTTATTTCACTTAATTCTCTCCTGGTCCATTCATGCTGTCAACAAGGGGTAAGATTCTCTTCTTTCTTATCGCCCATTGTGTAAATGTACCAAAGCCTTTTTTTTCCCACTCATCTACTGATGAGCACTTGGGCTGCTTCCAAATCTTGCCATCTCTTTTGATCCTCAAAACAACCTTGTGGGGAGGGCAGGAATTATCATCTGCACTTGGCAGATCAGGAAACCCAGAAGGACATAAATATTTGACCGAAGAATCAAGGCCAGGACGGACTCTCTGATCTTTGAATTATAAATCCCGAGCAAGACATGACCACATGACCCTGTCACCCTCTAGCTTCATGACGGAGGCAGAGAACCGGGTCCCGGGGGCCACCTGGCCTTCCCCTCCTTTCTCTCCATACTCTGCGTCTACCTGGCACACCCCAGAGTTGTGTGGGTCTGGTGTAGATACACTCAAGGGCTGCCTTTCCCTCCTTCAGCCAGCCCTGAGCCCCTGTTATGTGCCCCTCCCAGGTACACAGTAGGTGCTCAGCGCTGGCTGAAGGAGGAAGAGACAGCTCTTGAGTGTGTCTATACTCCAGCCTTTGAGTGTGTCTATACTCCAGCCTTTGAATGTGTCTATACTTGCAGGTAGGATATGCAAGTCCAGATCTCAGCACCCAGGAGGCCCTGCCTTAGATTCCACAGGGACTTCCCAATGTCAAACTTTGCTTTAGAGGGGAGGTTAACCAAAGGTGCATCTGCCTTAGACCACACCTGGGGAGGAGCATCCTCCCCCAGGAAGATCAACACCTGGGAGCTTGTGGCACATGCTGAGCTCTTCGCTGAGCGTGGTCCCATGTAACCCTAGAACAAATCTTCGCTCAACCCAGTATCCCACCTGCCACCAAGTCCTGTCAGTATCTCCCAAGGCTCGCCCTTTTCTCTGTATCTCTCCCCACTGAGTTTCAGTTGTCCTCAGCTAACCTGAAGCCAAAGCAAAGCCTCCTACTGAGGTCACGGTCAGCCCAGCCCTCTCCAAACCTCTCCCCACACGGGAAGGTTTCAGGATCCAAATCTCATCTTATCACACCTGCCGAGACTTGTGAAGCCCCCTGAGACTCCAACAGGCCTGCGTGGCCTGGCCCCACACCCCCATCTCACGCCTCCCCCTGTACCCTGAACCACACCAGCCTCCTCGCAGGCTCTCAGACCTTCCATGCTTTATCTGGCCTCTGCATGAAATGTGCGCCCGTCCCCTCGCCTTGTCCACCAGTTCCCTCCCTTCAGATCTCAGATCCACAGCCTTCCCTGCGCCTCTGTGTGAGTCCATCGTGCATTCTCGCACTCCCTGCTGTACTTCCTCAGGGCAGCCACCTTCTCCAGCAGCCTAAGATCCGTGAAGAAAAATTGCATCCCTCTTCTCCTCCTCCCCACTTTCCTCACCATCAAACCCCAGCATCTGCCAGTGCCTGGCACAGAGCTGTTGATGCCCAATAAATGTTTCCTGACCGGATACATGAACGAACCAAGTCTATGAGGTAGGTACAGCTGTTATTCCCTACTCATAGATAAGGAAATGGAGAAGTTTCTGAAAAGTTAGGTCCCCCAGCTGGCCAGTGGCAAAGGCTGGGTCTGAGGCAAGTCCGACTGCAGAGCCAGCACGCTTAACCACTTCCAGTCCTGTACCCGGTGCCCTGGCCTCACAGTCTGTCTGTCTTGTGCTCCAGCAGGCTCCCTGCGGACCACTCAGCCAGCCCAGATTCCCTTCCCCGGAGCTGCACCCAACCATGGAGAGCCTGAGTGAACTACAGAATCCGCTGCTGCCTCGGAGCCCCGCCCACCTCCATGGCCCCTACCCCTACCCCGAGGCCTCGCCCAGCTGGTCGTGCCAGGAGAAGCTCTACTCCTTCCTCCTGGGCGGGGCTGGCCCTGCTCACGCTCACCAGTTCCTGGACCCAGGGTCCCTGCAGCTGGCCGTGGAGGCCTGGTACAGGCCTAGCTGCCTCTTGGGGAGGGACACGGTCAAGGAGCCCAGGGCAGGCAGCTGTGAGACCAGCTTCACAGAGAGCAGGGAGTCCCAGGCTGGGCCCACAGAACCTGGCCAGGTAGAAGAGGATGTCACCATCCAGACTGTGTCCTATGGGGTTCAAGAGGAGCTGCAAGGACAGGAAGATGACCAGGAGGAGGACGAGGAGGTGAGTGTGTGTGTTTAAAATACAGACTCCCAGGCCTAACACCAGGTGTTGAGATTGATTAGGCCTGGCTTGGGGTCCAGAAATCAGTGTGTTACCAAGAAAGGCACTTCTGACACAAGTGCTAGCCACACTTTGAGAGACACTAGCTTGGGTTCACTATTTAATTTTCAAATAGCATTTATTGTTCTTTTTTCTTTTAAAGACTTTATTTATTTATTTATTTTTAGACAGAGGGGAAGGGAGGGAGAAAGAGAGGGAAAGAAACATCAGCATGTGGTTGCCTCTCATGAGCCCCTGCTGGGGACCTGGCTGGCAACCCAGGCGTGTGCACTGACTGGGAATCAAACCAGTGACCCTTTGGTTCACAGACCAGTGCTCAATCCACTGCGCCACATCAGCCAGGGCTGTTCTTGTTTTTTAAACTATATAAGTAATATACAGTTACTACAGAAAAGCACTGGAAGAGAACATTATTATTTTAGTAGATGATCTTCCAGTCTTTTTATATTCATGTTTTTATCCCATCCTACTTCCCAAGAGAGATCTTGCTGTACCTAGTGTTATAACCTGATTTTTCTCTCTAAGCAACATATTTCAGCATTGCTCCATGTAATTTAATCTTTTTACAAGGTGATTTTAAAAGGTTACGTGGTGTTCTATCACTTATTATCTCAACCTCCTGGTCATTGGGCATTGTGATTGTTTCTGACCTTTTACAATTACTACCCGGTAATGAACACGTCTGTACATAGATATTTAGACTCTTTCCATGTGATAAATTCCTAAAGATGGAATCAGTGGGCCATTGTGAAGGCTTTCGGCAGAGAGCGCCGAGCCCAGCCCACACCCCCATTGGCAAGAAAAGAGACTGCCTGCGCCCCACATCATTGCCACTGGGTGATCCCAGGCCCGCTCACAAACCCAGCTTGTGTTTTGCAGAGTGACGCAACCTCTACAGAGAGTGAGAGTGAAGACAGCTTCTTCACGCTGCCTCCAAGGGACCACCTGGGGCTTACTATCTTCTCCATGCTCTGCTGTTTCTGGCCACTGGGCATTGCCGCCTTCTACTTCTCCCAGGGGGTAAGAGCATGTGGGGCCCAGACCTTCCGCTCTGGCCACTTTCCTCCACTAGAGGGCTTGGCAGAAGCATATGCGGGAGGGGGTTAGGGGCCTGGCAGGCTGGGGCTGTTTTGCTGGGCACAGGGATGCTCCCGTTCATCAGCATATCTCTCTCCCTAGACCAGCAAGGCCATCTCCAAGGGGGACTTCCGCCTGGCCAGCACCACCTCCCGCAGAGCCCTCTTCCTGGCCACACTCTCCATTGCTGTGGGGGCTGGTCTCTATGTGGCTGTGGTGGTGGCTCTGGCAGCTTACATGTCCCACAGTGGTCATGGCTAGCGGCCAGTCGGGTCTAGCATCCTGACTCCCCTGCTCCACCCGAGGGGGCAGCGGGGCTTGAGGTTGCAGACCCTCTGGAAAGCCCTGCCCCTGAAGACAAGCCGTGAGGGCGGCTTGTTCGGGGACGCCTCCCAGGCTGCCGCCTGCAGTGCTCAACCTTTCCTTCCTCTTGCCCACTGCCCCAAGCCCCAGACAGGGCCAGGGGCGCCACTCTCCAGCCCGGGCTGTGTCGGGAAGCAGGAGAGGGTAGAGCTGCCCACCCACACCAACCAGGCAGGGCCCACATCTGGTTTGATGCCAGCGGGGAGCTCAGCCCATTCTGCCCACTCCTTAGAGTGACTCTGAGCTCAGGCAGCCCACTACCCAACCCCACCAGCCTCTCCACGGAGAAAGAGCCGGGGGGGGGGGGGTGGTTACAGGGAGGGAAAGGGATACCTGGGGGGCAAGGGGCCTGGCCCAGTCCTTTCAGTTCATAGGAGTCTCCACCCTGGGGACACCTGAGCCCCTCCATTTCCACTCTCTGGCTTCATCATGCCCAAACCCCAGCCAGCCAGGAGGGAAATACACGGAGACACGGGGGCCCCTTGCTCTTTCTGGCTCTGGCCGGTGCTTATCTTTCCCCAGGGCTTGTAAGATACTATAAATTCTAGACAGAGGAGTCTCAGGCATGTAAAACTCTGCACCAAGCCCAGGTCCTTGGAGCTTCCCTGTGCAGGAACAAAAGGCAGATGTGGTGACAGAGGTCCCGAAGTATCACCGGACCACGTGGGGCTCCACACTCTGCCCCTGATCCCCGCTCCCATCATCCTTCTCTGGCCTCCTCCTGGGGGGCCCTGAGAGGGCACCCTCCCAGGGAAGTGGAGAGAGAGTGCTGTCAGCAGCCCGCCAGCCGCTGAGCACAGGGCCTTGCGCCCTACGGGAAACCAGCGAGGAGAGACCCTGGCTGGGTACAGTGAGTGTCAATGAAGGGAGGGACTCAGGGCTGGCACAACTGCTAAGCCACCAGCAGGGCCCAGGAAGGCTCCCTGGAGAAGGTGTCCCTTTGGCAAGGTCCAGAAAGATGAGGAAAACTTATCTAAGAGATGTGTTTTCCCATAACCCTTAGTATTCATGGACGGGAGTGTGACAGGGACCTCCCAAGGGGGGCTCCAAGCTGTTTGAATTACACCTACAGCATGTGGGCTGGAGCCAAGCTGCAGCTATTTCTGAGGACCCCGCCAACTCAGAGAAGAAGGGTGGTTCTGTCTCTCAAAGACCGATGATGTCTTCCCACCTCTGAATGCTGGGAGTCAGGGGTGGACCCCTCGTCAGCCTTTGGGCTTCTTTGTTGATGCCCCTGCTCAGAGATGCTCTCAACACCCCAGCCGCTAGGGAACATCCAGAATTTTAGAGACGTAGGGGCAGGCAGGAAAGCAGCGCATGGAAAGGCAAGGCTGTCAGGGCTCAAGCTATAGGACCTCATTGTGCATGATTTTGGGGGCCTGGTCATTCCCGGGCCCCACCCAGAGCCTGGGGCTGTGGATCCACCACTGACTCGCCTCATCCCACTGTCCTCCCTCACCCCAGGGGTCGCCCAGCCCTCCATTCCCTGCACCCCTTGAAGTCCCACAGGCCCAGGATCAGCGGTTTTAATGTCCCATGATTGTGTATATATATCCTTGTAATAAACATTTCTCTAACACCTGGTGCCCTGTTACTGTCCTTGCCTGCCTCCATTTTTGCCTGTGTCCCATCCTTCTCCATGTCTGTCTGCTGCTCTGGGCCCCCAGCAGGAACAGGCCCATGTCTGGGCCCCAGATTCCCTGCACTCTGGATGGGAGAAGAAGCCATGGTCTACACTGGCTCCCGGGCCTCCCCACTGGATTGAGCTTCCATTGCTCACAGTGACAATTTGCTTGAGAGCACTGAGGCTGCCTCCTCTCCCGACTTTCTCCTCCCCTTCCTGGAATCATCTCCCAGTAAATGACCTGCAACTGACTCTTTGTCTCTGGGTCGGCTTCTGGGAAAACCCAAATCTAGACACATACATGCATGTACACATACGTTAGCATATGTGTGTGCATCCATGCCACACCTACCTGCATGCACATACACACATGCAAGCATAGCTGTGCCGCCATGCACGCACGCGCACACAGGGACAACCCACACACGCGCAAATACTGTGTACACACTCCAACGTGTGTATCCACACACGCAGCGTGTGCACATTCAAGGAGAAGAAGATGAGGTGGCTGAGGAGTTTCTCCGGCCTGCCCGCTCTGCCGTCACCCCATCACCAGCCTGGCTGGGCCCCGGAAGGGGCAGTGGGCAGTGCACACTCCAGTGCAGGCCAGCTCCCCGCCCTTCCCAGCCCTCCAGAGTAAGGCTCCAGGCCTCCAGAAGAGGCAGAAGCCAACGATGTTCAACCCTGGTCCTGCTCCCTCCCCCGTGTCTTGCCCCCCAGCTGTGAATTCAAGCTCTCCAGGAGAAAATGGAATCAGAAACCAGCCTAGAAGCTTCTCTCCCACAGCCCCCCTAGGAAGGGCCCATCCTGTTCGGTCGCTGCCACTCAGGCAAGCCCCACTCCCATGCAGAGGCCTGCCTCTGGGTATGCCTGGGGCACTTAGGGCCTCCTGCTCCCCAGCTCTGCCTGTGCCTCGCTGCCTGGGGTTCCTGGGAGGCACAGGGACCTGCGGTCACCCCCCTTCAGGGCCCTCTGGCTGGCAGAGAGAGGCTGGTGACAGGCAGGGGCCCCTGGGTAAAGGTGCCCTTGATGAGCGGCAGTGCCAGCACATCTGTGAAAATATTACCAATTATTTTCCTCACTATAAACACCCAGCAGGAAGGCAGGGAAGCAACCAACCCAAACTGTTTAAAATAGAAACTGAAATTGCTGCACAGGGATGTCAGGGTAACTGGCAGAGCAGGAGCCCTGCACCAGGAAGCCGGGGGCTCCCCCCACCAGCTGCCCTTAAATTGCACCTGCTCCCGCTTCCCCCACTCCACCGCTCCGCCTCAACCTTGTCCTCCCCTGGCCAGGTGGAATGAGGTGGGAAAGGTGCTTGCCTGGGGGAGAGACAGTCTTTAGCACATTCCTGGGCCTAGCCACGCCCGAGCCCCACCCAGGGGATAGGAAGGGGGTATGCGGAGGCAGGAGTCAGTGGCTAAAGCTGTTGAAGATGTGAATCCTAAATGTTGCAGCAGGAAAGAACCTGGGAGGTGATCTAGGCACAGTCACTCATGCCACAGCTGAGACAACCGAGACCCAGGGAGGAAGGTGAGGTGCCCAGTGACACCCAGCGATTTTTGAGCCAAGCCCAGGCTCTGACTTCTGGGCCCTGGGGTTTCTGAGCTAGGCTGGTGATGTCTCTGTCTGCCATGGAAACAGAAAACCCAGGGCAACGCTACCTCGGGGTGAATATTAACAAACTTGCTCTCCTCAGCCTTCCCTCCCAGGCTGGTTCCTGCTTCAAATGCTTCCCCACCAGCCCCTCCCAGGGGCTGATGCTTTGGCCCTTCTATTTTGGTGGCTTGGCAGGGACGAGGCTGGAGGGTAATAGACTTACTTACCTGCCCCAAACTCACCGCAGCTCCCACCACCACCATGGGTGCTCGCACATCCTCCCTGTAATAGGGGGAGGCCCTACTCTGGGGGGCGGGAGGCCCACAGAGGCCCTCAGATGTTTCGAGCAAAAATTAAAAGTCCCCCTGCCAGCCCATTTGCATTTCCAAATTCTTCCGACCTACATCCCTGGAACTGCTTTTACCTCTCTCTCTCTTTAAAGAGCCGAGAGGGCTTCAAAGCCACCTCGGGCTTCACGAGAAAATAAAGAAAAAAATCTCCCGAGGACAGGGTGCCCTGAGAGGCAGCCAGAAGGGGACAGAGGGGAGAGGAGGGCACGTGTGTGACAGCAGGCAGGGCCAGTGGGGAGAGGGACACGGGCAGGCTCTGTTGGCAGAGCAACTTTAATGCACAAAGCCTCTTCACACCAGCCCTCTCTACCACCGAGGCAGGCTCCTGAGCCCAATTTACAGTCAGTGAGATCAAAGCCCACCAGGACCTCTTTCCTCCTGGTTCCATAGCTCAGTGAGTGGTCCCATGGCCTGCCATGGCTCCGTCTTCACCCTGGGCCCACCTCCCATCTGAGGCCAACTGCTGGCTGTGTCCCCTCCTTAATCCTCTCCAGCCCTGCCCCAACACTCCCGCTTGGAGCTGACTGGGAGACGCAGCCTAACACAGTGGCAGAAAGCAGAGTCCGGAGCCAGACTGCCTGGTTCCAATCCTACGGCCTGTGTTTTCCCCCTTGGCATCGTGATGGTGACGGCTGCATAGTTTTGCTGTGAAGTGCATCAGTTAATACTTGTACAGCTCCTACAATAGCACTGAGCATCTAGTAAGGGCTCTGTGAAAAATGCTTCTAACTCTCTCCTGTTGACCAGCATCACCCCTCCCACAGCCGGAAGGACAGAGTAAAGCCGGAGCCCCGGTGCACGGGGACCCTGCCAACCACTCAGCAGATCTCCGGTAGCAAGCTGAAGGCGTGCGCCTGCTTCATGGGCTCCTCCTGCCTGGAATTCCCTTATCTGCCTCCACTCCCCGACCTTTCCTCCAAAGTGATCAAAATCTACCTAGACACAGTTCAGGAAAATCTTACCTTTCCTGCCCCCAACAACCACCCTCCCCACGTCACTCTCAGCACCCAAATCATGTGGAACTCCCCGCCGGCTTTCATGAGCCACCACCACGCCCATTCAAATTACTCTCACAGCCACGTCTACAGCCTTTTGCTCTCCTGAGCCTGGGGCTTTCTGTAGACATTCCACACTACTCCCTGAGCGCATCCCTGGGGAAGAAGCATCGTGCCACACAGCTGGAGAGGGGAGGGGTCCAAATTCCTGCCACTGTGATATCTCTCTCAGAGGGAAGAACCGCCCCCTTCTTCAGGGAGATATGAGCAGGGAAGGGGGGTCCAGGGGAGAGGTCCTTGGCAATTCCAGGGGGGATGAAACAGACGAGAGACAGAAGGTGGACCCCTGAGGTGCTCAGCCTGGTGGTATCTGAATAGGCACAGGTTGCAGAACTCTTAGATGTTTTCATCGGGGATGCCATAAAGACCCACCTTCCTGGTGAATCGAGGTCTGTGCTCTGTAGAAAAATGTAAACAAGGAGACAAAAAAGCCAGAGTGGCTGCCTGCTCTTGGTGTCCCCTCTGGTCTCCATGAGGCTCTGGGCAGAGGATGGAGAAAAGGTTCTTTCTCAGTTTCCTCTGCTTCCAGCTCAGCCCCGAAGTTACCCCACCCCCATCCTCCAAGGAGTCCACAAGTCTGAGTGACACTGGCTTGTCCACAGTCCCTTCTAAAGGCCAAGGCCAGAGGCAGGAGCACTGCCTCACTCAACTGCACCACCTTCCCATCCTTCACCAAATCCTGTGACTCTACCGCCTCCAAACCTCCCTGATCCCATCCACTTCTCCCCGTCTCTGTTGCCAGGACCTAGTCTGAGCCCCCACCAACTCTCACTCCACTCCTGCAAAAACCCCCTAGATGTCCTGACACGCGCTATGACACGCGTGAGGCTCGAGGACATTATGCTAAGTGAAGTAAGCCAGTCACAAAAAGGCAAATACTGTATAGTTCCACCTCTGTGAGGTACCTAGAGTCGTCAAATTAATAGAAACAGCCCTGGCCGGGTGGCTAAGTTGGTTGGAGTGTTGTCCTGAAGCACCAGAGGTGCGGGTTTGATCCCAGGTCAGGGCACATAGAAGAATCAACAAATGAATGCATAAATAAGCGGAACGACAAGTCGATCTCTCTCTCTCTCTAAAAAAATCAACAAATTAAAAAATGTATCATTTTTTAAAATTCATAGAAACAGAAAATAGTACCGTGGTTCCCAGAGGCTGCGCAGGGGGAGTGGAGAGTTAGTGCTTAGCAGGACAGAGTTTCAGTTTTGCAAGATGAAGACATTCTGGAGACCAGCTGTACAACACTGGATATTTTAAAAACTATGGAACTGTATGCTTAAAAGTGGATAAAATGGCAAAGCTTGTGTTATGTGTTTTTTTCCACATTCTTTTTAAGACTGGGGCAAGTAATAATTGTTATTATTATAAGG